CGGACTCCAGCGGCGCCGTCGTGAGCAGCACGACGGACACCAGAAAAACCATCGTGAGCAGCATGGCGGACGCCAACAATACCATCGTGAGCAAGGCGACGAACTCCAGCAGCACGACCGTGAGCAACATGACGGACTCCAACATAATCATCGTGGGCAAAACGGCGGATTCCAACAACACTACCGTGATCAACATAACGGACTCCAGCAACACCGTCGTGAACAGCACGGCGGACGCCAGCAGCGCAACCGTGGGCAGCAGGACGGACTCCAGAAGCCCTATCGAGAGCAGCATGACGGACACCAGCAGCACAGCCGTGAGCAACATGACGCACCGCAGCAACACCATCGTGAACAGCACGACAAACTCCAGCAACGCGACCGTGAGCAGCATGACGGCCTCCAGCAACACCATCGTGAACTGCACAACGGACGCCAAAAACGCGACCGTCCGCAACGTGACGGAGTCCGGTAGCACGACCGTGAGCAGCATGACGGGTTCCAGCAGCACCCCAGCAGCTACATCGTGAGCGGCGTGGCGGACTCCAGCAACACGACGGAGAGCAGGATGACGGGCTCCAGCAGCTGCGCCGTGGGCATCACGACGGACTTACGCAACGCGAGCGTGGGCAGGACGGATTCCAGCAACGCCGTCGTGAGCAGCACGACGGGCTCCAGCAGCGCGCCCGTGAATATCACGACGGGCCGCGGCAACGCCACCGCGAACAGCACGGCGGAATCCTGCGGCAACATCGGGGGCAGGCTGTCGGACTCCAGCAGCGCCGTCGTGAGCGCCGCGACGGGCTCCAGCAGCGCCAGCGTGAGCAGCGCGACGGACTCCAGCAGCACTATCGCGAGCAGCGCGACGGACTCCAGCAGCACGACGGTGGACAGCATGGCGGAGTCCAGCGGCAACACCGCGAGCAGCGCGACGGACTCCAGCAGCACGAACGCGAGCGGCATGGCGGACTCTGGCAGCACCATCCTGAGCGACAGGACGCACTCCAGCAACACAACCGCGATCAACATGACGGGCCCCGACCACGTCACCGTGAGCAACGTGACGGGCTCCAGTAGCACGGCCGTGGGCAGCACGACGGACATCAACAGCATCAGCGTAAACAACACGATGGACCCCAGCTGCGCGACCGTGAGCAGCATGACGGACTCCAGCAGCACCATCGTGAACGGCACGACGGACTCCATCGGCATGACCTTGAGCAGCATGACGCCCCTAACAACACCATCGTGAACAACATGAAGGACTCCAGCAGCACGACCGTGAGCCGCATGGCGGAGTCCAGCAACACCATCGCGAGCAGCACGGCGGACTCCAGCAGCAAGACCGCGAGCGGCATGACGGACTCCAGCAGCACCAACGTGATCTCGTGACTTGCTGGCCCTCGCAAGCCCTGTTGGCGGCGGAGCTGGGGCCCGCCATCGCGAGCTACGGCGCCCAGCTCAGCGAGCGCGAGAAGGGCGATAGTCGCCGACCGGCCTTGCCGCTGTTCAACGACGCGTGGCTGGTGAAGCTGGAGCCCGCTATCGCGAGCTGCAGCGGCTCCCTGGCCAGCGCGCGCGAGAAGGGCGACCCGCGGCAGCGGTGGCCAGCCACGCCGCTGCGCAGCGAGATGTGTAACCCGCAAACATCCTGAGCTACTACAACCTCGGGCAGTGTGGACGGATGGAGGCGGGCGGCGGTGGCGGCGCGGTTGGAGGAGCGGGGAGGGGTGGCAGTGGTGGCGGTAGTGGCAGCATGTGTTGGGCCTCAAGGACGGAAGCAGTTCAAAGACCGTCTGCGTCGCCAGCTTGTCGCCAGTGCAGCTCGTGGGCCCCGCGCAGTTCGCGTGCCCCGCTGGCGCAGTTCTCATGCTCTTGGAAGGCGCTTCCTCATCGAATGCGTCGCAGGATATTGCGCGTGGCCCTATGGATGCTGGGGCGACGTCAATCGACCCGTCGGCAGAGACCGTGGTGCTCCTGAAGGTGGGTGTGCGTCTTGCCCTCGCGCCTCTGGAATGCTCCTCCCCTCCGATGCCTTCGTCGGGTATCGCGTGTTGCTCCAGTGGTGCAGGGGCTGGGCGTGTATTTCGATGATGTAAAGAGGCGGTGGGCTGAGGTTGGGGCGCTCCTGGGGGGCGGGCATGTGCTATGAGCTTGCGGGCGGTGGCATCTCAGATGGTTGTCGTTGCAGGCTTGTCGCCAATGCAGCTCGTGGGCCCCGCGCACTTCGCGTGCCCCGCTGGCTCGGTGCTGTTGCAGCCTTCTCCTGGAGCTTCGGGGGCCTCAGGGGGCCCCCGCGCCGATGCGCCTCGACGAACGCTGCCTGGGGGCGAACGAATCGTCCTGCATGCTGCTGATGCGATCTGCGGTGCTGGCGGTGTCGGAAGCCGGCGCGCGTTGAGTGGCGAAGACTCCACCGCTCCCCCCTCCCCCGCCCTCTCGCTGCCCCCCCGAAAGGGGTGGCGCCGTGCCGAGCGATCGCCGCGATCAGTGGCGACCC